TATGAACGTTGAACTGAGGCTCATCCGCACACAGGCGAACCAGTATTCACCCATTTTTAGCTGAACGTACCTTTTGGAATTGAGCACTGCGGTGCCCCCGAGAATAAACCGAATCCCTGAGTTAGTGGCATTTTGCAAAGCAACAGAGCGTGATTCCTCGTACGTTGTTCCACCAACCATGAATATCACCACCTCTTGTGGCCTTTATTATTAACCCAGAATACAAATTGTAATTAGTTAATGAAAGTTTTAAGCGTTACAAAACATGACTAGTTGAACATACCGTCCCTGTTGAAAATGATCTCCAACAAAAGGGTAGTCTACATCTCGTAATCTTCCCCTGGTTATGCTCTCCATTGTTTGAAACAGAAGAGGCTGATGTTGAGTGTACACATTCTCAACCCCCTGTATTATTTTTTTCAACAAGTCAGCAACATAACATATAATAGGGAGATCTACCAAGTTCTTAGAGAGGTATAATCTCAGATACAGACCTTAAGTCCACGAGCCATGTTCCGTGCTATATTCATAAGATCTCTGTTTCCAAATAGATCACCAGTACGCTTCTCCACACCAGCTTGTTTCAAGAGAAACTGAACAAGCTGCAGTTGTGTGACATCCAGAAAGTTATGATATGAAAAAAATGCAACCCAAGTATAAACTGAAAGTCTTTTCATTTATTCAGAAATATAACTTAGTTAGAACCACCATGGACAGAAATTAAGTATACTAGTAGAAGAACTATAAATCAATCTACCACCTTTAAAGGAGGTGCAGAAGAATATATTCAAATGTACAGTAAAAAGATGCAATTCAAACTGGAAGGTGCTAAGTTTGACATTACCCCTGGTTTGTACTTTGGAGACCGTGAAGCCAGTTTGTTGAACAGTTGCATCAACTGAACGGGATTCTCTTTCTCATAGCGCAGAGCATACAGCATTACCAAACGTAGCCGGTCGATGTCAGACACACTTTCGTTATTTAAGAGATTCGTAACTGCCTGCAAATAAGCATGAAAGGAGAGTCAGAGGTACTGAATGCCAAATTATTCAGTCGGACTTTCTGCATGCTTGCTACTGATAAGTCACTTCTCCATATGGTTATTTTTTGATGGATGAACATGTGATTTTCCCATGGAACGGCGAATAAAATTGAACATTGAATACCTCATATGCAGCTCCTTGGCCACCATTGCAAGCTAAGTCCTGCTCAGTTTGTGAAACTAGCATCAGTTTCCTTGCTTCAACTAGCTTGCTCATCTCAGTAACCAGGGTTACATGCTTTGAGACGTTGCCTTGCATCTTTTTGTACTCAGGGTAGTTGTCAACAAATCTAGCCATGTCCTCTGTAAAACCAACGGAGCCACACATTATACTTATCACTGGCACCAGAAACTGAATGTCTTTGCAGGAGAAAGACTAGCAATATTTTACCTACTGTCTGGATATTTTGGTTACTCTTTGCCACCTGCTGAAAATCATCTACCATTCGCTTGATGTTCATTCCAATATCCCCAAAATTTTCATACATGTTAGATTTGAAGAATGCATCTTGTTCTGATGACAATACCACCTCCTGCCACGAAAAGAGACTTATTAGCTAGCTGTGAGGTTTTCAACTAATAAAACTCGGTACTTGAAAAGATTCACAACTTGTTGATCTTTTGGAAGACTTCCAATGGCTCTCAAGTCCACTTTATTATCCTGAAGTCCTATGAGTTCGTGCACCATTGCCTGCAGAAAAACATCGCTAAATGAGCAAGTCTTACTCTTACGAAAAAGTACGACTTCTGGACATATTATATACCAGAGAATAGCACAATAAATAACACTTTTAGTCAAGTTAACCTGATATGTCCACTGATTGAGTAATGGGGTAACTGGGTCATCTCTTCTGTCAATCACAAGCAGCAACGGAGAGCTTTCAGTCCGTCTAAAATCGAAAAGACCGGTTTCGTGCTGATACATCAATTTCTGAAACATAAAACTATATTTTAGTTCAAATAAATAGCAGGATACACAAAATTCTCAGACTAAAAGCAATCTGGAGATAAGTTCCATCACATGCATTGCAACATATGATTCATTAGCGGGAAGAAAGTAGTTTCGGAGAGCTTGTTCACTTACAGCTGTTTCGTGGGCGATTCTTTTAGCAGTATCAGAGGTCCTCTGGTATCTGATGACAGGTCTACGTTTCAACGCCAGAAACAACGCTGCAATTCCATCAACAACCCTATCAGAGTAGCGTTGCAAACCAGAGGGATCGACAACTGCTGGGATCATGTATAGATGGTTTGATGGCATATTCAATGTGAAATGATACGGATCACCAGCGACAAAGTCTGCATAAAATTCCTGCAACATAAAAACCATAAAGAACCATCTTAAACAAGTCACTACTACGTCGAATTCACCAAGAAATATAGGTTAAAAAATCAGTAAAGTTGAGACATTCAGGGGAAAAATAATAAGCTCCACAATCATGGCCGTTTCATCACAAACCGAGAAACTTCTTAGAGACAGCTAAAAACATATACTGAGAAACATTCTTTTAGCATCAGTATCCTATTCAAAACATCATGGAGGAAGGAGCAAGTCACTACTACGTCAAGCTCATAAAGCAATACAGCTTCGAGTCAGTAAAGTTGATACATTCAGTGGAAAATAATAAAGCTCCACAACCATGGCCGTTTCATCACAAACCAAGAAATCCTATTAAAGACACTATCCTATTCAAAACATGATGTACACAAGGAACAAGCCAAAATAGGATTCTTTAAAAAAAACAACCTGAACTTGTTGAACAGCCTCGTGCTCATCCGAATCAGCCAAGATATGAATCTGAGTATCCTTCAACAGATTCGAGAAAACTGAAAACATTCATTAGCAAACAAAATCAAAACTAATTAACAATTGATAAAACTCGAGAATAGATTCTTGAAAATGATTGAAAGAGCTAATCTCGTACACAAATGGTGTTCACCGAATCTAGGATTGGAAAGCTGATACCGTAGCTTCTGAATATTCTCCGAAGTAGGTCGGATGAAATAAACAGCTTTGAGATGCGACATCGATTCCTTCGAAACGGAGATTGAATCAATCATCTCCACGAGGAACACTTCTTTCTGAAGCAGCTCTGATTGTGAATACACTATGCTCACATTACTAACCTACAATTCAAAAACATTGTAAAAAAAATCAAGCCCTAGATTATGATGAAATCGGGAGGAGATATTATTTATTTACCGTTTCGGAGTCGAGTATGAGAACCTTCATGCCGGAGATATCGTGGAGCATCCGGTTTATGTAATCACGCACTGACGTAACCAACACCATCGTCTTGTTCAGATCTTACGGAGACTTGGTTTCAGTGATTTACAATGAAGGCTTGGCGAATTCGTTTCAGTCTTTCAGATCTTTTTCGTTGATCTAAGAGATGAAGATGCTCCGAGACGAAGAAATGAAGTTTTTTTGTTTTGCAATATAAACCCTGTTCTATTGGTTATTTCGCTTTGATAAACACTAACTTTTTATTTTTTAATTAAACCCAAAATTTCTAGATGACGAAGACAAAACGCGTTTTACGTTATCAAAAACGTGGAGATTTAGGATATGACTGGTTCTCCCGTCATCATCCGCAAACGCAGCTTTTGCGGTTGGTAACGGGTGTTGGCGTTTTGTAACAATCATAGAAAACGCTATAAACCGTTTCAAATTGAAATCGCTCCGAATCTCTAAAATTCAAAAGCTGGTTTCAACTAGCGTTTGCGGTTGCGAGCGATTGCGGAAGGATAAAAAATATTTTTTTTTCCAAAAAAATTTTATAGACATAAAAATAAAATATTCAATTAAAAATTTAAATTAAAATGATTAAAATAATGAAATATTTATATTATAAAATTTCCAAAAAAATATTTTCTTTAGTATTTTAAAATTTTAGTAGTGCATTGTTTCAATAAAAAAATTATCTTTATCATAAAAATATGATTTTAATATTTTGATAATTATTTAAAATATACATATTGTCAATTTATTACTTAACCGCTGTTGTATTTGATGATAAACCAGTCATACGTATCTCGCAAACGCAATAATTTTTAACCGTTGAACCAGTCGTATAAATCTCTTACTAACGCTTAAAACCGCAATTTCCCGCATCCGCAAACTCCCGCAACCGTAGCCGCAATCGCTACGTTGTAACCAGTGAGACCCTTAACGACGTTTAGCTATATCGTATTTACCACCCATTTATCAAAGTCTACTCATGTCTTTTTGAGTTATGAAACGTACAAACTTTTTTCCATGGATTGGTCTCTGAAGGGCTGGAGTTGTAGGTGGTGGAGGGTATTTTTGGTGGAACATTGTGTGACAAAAGAAGCATTTAATGTGCATTTTTATGCTTTCAAGACTCTGCCAAGCTCCATCTTGCAAGTTTGCATTGAGCAGCTCACTAACAAGTCATGTTCCCCTACCAATGGAAGACACTGAAGCTTATTATTCAACAATCTACTGTAATATCTATAGAGCAAAACTGTCTGAAGCTGAACTTGCCTAGTCCATACCGAATAATATCTCTTTAGAGGTTTAGTTTTGTTACACAGCCTTTGATTCTTTTCACATCAATTCTCTCATATATCATGGTCTATAGACTCAACAAAAGCTTGAATCTCTTACACAGGTTTCATCTCCTGGTGTCCAAAGGGTTGTAAGGTATAAGGACGTACTGATGTATGTTAGATACGCTTACGAGGAAGGTTAGACCGAAAGTGATGGTAGGTTCAGGCTGGTTTCTTGACGTGGAAGTCAAAAGCTGCGCTTATAATGTTTCTAGTTTATATAAACACCTCACTATGATTAATCTGTTACAACGGTAAAGGTAATAGAAAAGACACGAAAACAACCAACTTAAAAAACAGAGTAAAAAAACAGAGTAAAAAAACAGAGCATAGGATATCTGCTTTATATTTCTATTTAGTATACATCATTGGTACTTGAATGGATTCAAGCGCCCATGTTGATGATGCAACGGATACAATCTCCCTTTGACATGTAATCAAAGGCCTTGTTGATCTCCGAGAATGGCACTGTGTGAGTGATGAACTTCTCAAGATCCAGCTCCTGATGTCAGAAACCACAAGAGCATTTGATATATTTGTAAACATCAGAACTTTGCCAAAGGAAAGATTCTCATTACCTTGTTCATGTACTTCTCAACGACCCCTGGAATGTCAGTTTTGGGTTTATAGTTCCCAAAGAAAGAGCCCTTGAGAGTCCTCTCGTTCAGAAAATTCATGGGATGAGTCTTGAATGCATCGTCTTGTCTTGGCACACCCACCAGCACCGCAACACCCCAACCCTGAAACATCATGCAACGCTGATTATATTTTAATGAATGGTCTGAACCGATACGAAGAAAACAGGAAACGTTACCTCGTGAACGCATTCAAAAGCTTGAATCATGGCTTGAACGCTTCCTGTGCACTCCACACTCCGGTCAACTCCACCATCTGTCATCTCAGTGATAACTTGCTGAACAGGTTTGTCATGATCTCTAGGGTTCACAAACTCGGTCACACCAAATTTCTTAGCTGCCAAATAACACAATAAACTCAATGCCTCTTTGGAGATTACATTAGAGAATAACCAAATCAACTTTTTTACTACCTTCCTCGAATCTATTGGGGTTGAGATCAACACCAATAATCCTACCAGCACCAGCAATTCTAGCACCTTCAGCAGCAGCTAAACCAACTGCACCAAGACCAAAAATGGCAACACTCTGACCTCTCTTGGGTTTAGCCACATTCAAAGTTGCTCCTAGCCCAGTGGATAAGCCACAGCTAACGATGCAGACTTTGTCAAGAGGAGCATCCGGGTTGATCTTAACGACCTGACCGGAGTGCACCACTGTGTACTCACTGAAAGTGGAGGTTCCAAGGAAATGGTGAATGGGTTTTCCCTTGGTGGAGAATCTTGATTGGCCATCATGAATCATGCCGCCTCGGTCCGTGTTGATCCTGAGGAGATCACACATGTTGGATTCCTCAGAGTGGCAGTGAGGGCAGTCACCACATTCTCCGGTGAAGATGGGCAAAACGTGATCTCCTGGTTGAAGATCAGTCACTCCTTCTCCAACACTCTCCACAACACTAAAACCAGAAAAATATCTTAAAACACTAAAACTTGTGAAAGAAGATAAGGGGTGTTTTGGTTTACCCTCCAGCTTCATGGCCGAAGATACGTGGAAACAACGGAGTTTGTCCCTGCGGAATTAAGATTCCGATACTTTGTGATATAACTTAGGATCAGAGGTTGATAATGAACTTTGTTTAGGTTTTATTGATATATACCTTTGCTTCCCAGAAGCAAACATCGGTGTGACAGAGAGATGTGAAGTGAATCTTGATACGTACTTCGTGTCTCTGCGGTGGAGCGACTTCTACTTCCTCCATCACTAGTGGCTTTCCAGCTTCCCATGCCACAGCCGCTGCAACCACAACCATGTTAACACGTTTTGTAGTCTCACCATATAATTTGTGGTGAAGTCTTATTAGAAACTAATTAATTAACAGATAGTAATGTTTGCAAAAAAGATCAGATTAGAAAGACAACCTAGGCATCGAATAAAGTGTCCAGCCGTAGACATTATCAATAGCGAGGAACTTGATCTTTTGTTTTGTTTGCGTGCTTGTAAGAGATGAGGGAGGAGATGTGAATTTATGGAGCTGGTACTGAAAGAGTTTGATGTCTTTTCAGAAAATGTCATCTTGTTATTTTTTTAAGTCGACATGTGTTAAAGACTAGTTTTGGCTTCCACTTGGTGTCTTAATCGTTCATCCACGTGGGTTTGTAAAACCAGATAGCAGATCAGGAGAGCACACACCGAGTGCTTTACTCTTTTTCTAATGAAATTTCATATATGAAGCTGATATTTAGTTGTTCATAATTATTTTCGTTGCCGTCACTCTCAAGTCTCAGCTTATACGATTATATATTAGTGTAATTGATTGTTCTTTTTCCTCTAGTCCTTTCTTTGTCTCTTTCGAGTTCTATTCAGACCGACTAATTATGAGATAGGAGTTACATGAGTTAAATACTTTGTTTTAAGATGTTTTTTATTCTTTTTCTTATTTTTGATTATGATGTCTTAGGTTCAAACACAAGTACATGTAAGAAAAATTCAAAACATGTGAAATTTTTTTTTTTCGGAAATCCTATTTCTTTCAATAGACATCAAACATCTGAAGTAGATGTCAAGAGGTTTCAGTCACTAGACTAAATTTTCGTTAGTGAATCTTATTATTTCAAAGAAAAAGAGGTTTATCAGAAAGGTCAAAGATTGACTGAAAAGTGAAACCTCTTTTTCTCGATCTTCAAAGAAGCACAAAAAATAGGTTTAATCAACAAATTCTTTTTTTTTTTTTGAACAAAAGAGGTTGGTCTCATGTAGACAAACATAGAGTCAATAACCTAAAGTAACTTATTGACCAAGACTTGCATATCAAGCAACTCAAGCCCACGAATGGGTTTTCGTTGGGCTTATATTATAATAACTGTAAGCCCGAAACCAAATAAAGCCCAGCAAAGGGGTTTAATGCGTCATCTCTTTTCGTTAAACCCTAAACGGCTAAACCTAAACTCTCCACCATCTCCTTCTTCCCTTACAAACCCAAAACTTTTGGGGGATTCTCTGCCGTCGCGATCTGCTTCGATTCACAATGGTGGAAGGAAAGGGTTTCCTGGTGAGCTCCGTCACCGAGCTTCACCGCAAAGAGAAGCAGAAGAAGAAAGGCAAATCTGGAGGATTCGAGTCACTAAACCTAGGTCCTAATGTCTACAACGCAATCAAGAAGAAAGGGTACAAAGTTCCTACACCGATTCAGAGGAAGACGATGCCTTTGATCCTCTCCGGCGTTGACGTTGTTGCTATGGCGAGAACCGGGTCCGGAAAAACCGCAGCTTTTCTTATTCCTATGCTTGAGAAGCTTAAGCAGCATGTCCCTCAGGGTGGTGTTAGGGGGATTATATTGTCTCCTACTCGTGATTTGGCTGAGCAGACTCTTAAGTTTGCTAAGGAACTTGGGAAGTTTACAGGTTCGGTCTTTTTTTCCTTTGTCTGAAGAACTTATAAATAATCTAATCTCAATCTTCAAACAATTGTTTTAGTTGTGTTTTAAGCATCTCATGATGTCTGAAGAACTCTATTCTAACCTAATTTCATTCTTTTCAGTTTTGTTTTTATTCCTTTATGATGTCTGAAACTCAATTCTAACTTGATTTAGATCTTAAAACATTGGTTTTAGTTGGGTTTTAAACACTTTATGCTGGCTGAAGAACTCAATTCTAAGCTAATATCAGTCTTAAAGCACTTTGTTTCAATTGTGCTTTGATTCCTTTATGATGTCTGAAGAACTAAATTCTAACCTAATCTCAATCTTTAAACACTTGTTTCAGTTGTTCAAAACACCTTTTGCTTCCTTTATAATGTCAGAACTCAATTCTAACCTAATCTTAATACACTTGTTTCAGTTGTGTGTTTAAACACCTGTTGATTCTGTTTTGATGTCTGAAGAATTTAATTCTAACCTAATCTTAATCTTTAAACACTTGTTCTAGTTGTGTGTTGTAACACCTTATGATGTCTGAAGAACTTAATTCTAACCTAATCTCAATCTTTAACACTTGTTTCAGTTCTGCTTTAAACACCTTTTGTGATTCCTTCATTGTTTCAGATCTTCGTGTTACCTTACTAGTCGGTGGTGATAGCATGCAAGACCAGTTTGAAGAGCTAACAAAAAACCCCGATGTGATTATCGCAACCCCTGGGAGACTTATGCATCTTCTGGAGGAGGTAGACGACATGTCACTAAGAACAGTTGAGTATGTAGTCTTCGACGAGGCAGACAGTCTCTTCGGTATGGGTTTCGCCGAGCAGCTTCATCAGATCTTAGCCAAGTTAGGTGAGAACAGGCAGACTTTGCTTTTCAGCGCAACCTTACCAAGTGCACTTGCAGAGTTTGCAAAGGCTGGTCTCCGTGAGCCTCAGCTAGTTAGGTTAGATGTTGAGAACAAGATAAGCCCTGACTTGAAGCTTTCGTTTTTAACGTTAAGACCGGAAGAGAAGTACGCTGCGTTGATATACTTGGTAAGGGAGCATATAAGCTCAGATGAACAGACAATTATATTCGTTTCCACAAAGCATCATGTCGAGTTTGTGAACTCGTTGTTTAAGCTGGAGAACATTGTACCCTCTGTGTGTTACGGTGACATGGACCAAGACGCACGGAAGATACACGTGTCTAGGTTCAGAGCGAGGAAGACTATGTTGCTGATTGTCACTGATATTGCTGCTAGAGGTATTGACATACCGTTGCTTGATAATGTTATTAACTGGGATTTTCCACCAAGACCAAAGATCTTTGTCCATAGAGTGGGAAGAGCTGCTAGAGCTGGTCGTACAGGTTCTGCAATATCATTCGTTACACCTGAGGATATACCTTATCTGTTGGATCTTCATCTGTTCCTCTCGAAACCGATCAGGCCTGCACCTACTGAGGATGAGGTGTTGAAGAACATGGAGGAAGTGATGAACAGAACTAGTGAAGCGATAGAGAGTGGAGTCACTGTTTATGGTCGTTTCCCACAGAAAACCATTGACCTTATCTTTAACAAAATCCAAGAGATGATTGATTCATCTGCAGAGTTGGATTCTCTTGAGAAAACATCTACAAAAGCTTTTCGTTTGTATACTAAAACAAAACCGTCTCCGTCTAAAGAGTCCATTAGGAGAGCTAAGGAGTTACCTAGAGAAGGGTTGCATCCCATGTTTAAAAGCATAATTGAAGGTGGTGAATTAGAAGCAATGGCGTTTTTTCAGAAGATTAAAAACTTTAGGTGAGTAGTTTGGTAATCTTTTATTCATCCATCTGTAGTTTTATACCAATTTGATTAATTTATAATGATGGTTGATTGTGCTAGACCCAAGCAGACCATACTTGAAGCAGAAGGTGAAAATGCCAAATCTAAAAATGTGAAGGTAATCCTTGCTTTTTTCTTTCTCTCTTGGATATTCATATAACTTTATATGATCATATCATTGCTTGTAGCTAAGGCCAAAAGGTTTTGGTTCTTGTGCAGGGTCCTGCTGGGCAATGGGTTGATGTGATGAAGAGGAAAAGAGCCGTCCATGAGGAGATCATTACAAAGAGACATGAGCAGAATGAGAAGAGTTCCAATAATCATTTAGAAATGGTAATCCTGTACAACTTTTAACATTAAGTTTGACGTACTCATTTATCTGCCATTAGTTGTACTCACAGAAGTGTTTCGATATGTAGGACGATGAACCTGATATTGAGGACAAGATAACGGGAAGTAAAGGTATGCGTGCTGCTTATGCGCTTGCTCCTTTAGTCCTGTTTTTTTTTTATTTTTTTTTAAATAGTTTATCTGTGGCGTGTGGTTGTTTTTTCCACTTCTTTGATTAAAGCTTTACATAAACTCTCCATTGATTTTCAGTAAGCGGTAAGAAAAGAACGGCACAGCAAACTTTCAAGGACGAAGAATTCTATATCAGCTCCATACCAGTTAACCACGTATGTTTTTGTTCCTAAATTCACAAAAAATTCTGTGTGTATGCATTAGCTTAGCTCCCAAAGCTACAATGTGTATGATCATTTTGTTTATTCTACTGATGTGGAGATGAACGCAGAGTTTGACTCTTTGTTACTCTTATGCACGCAGCATTCAGAGGCAGGGCTATCTGTAAGGGGAAACGAAGGGTTTGGATCAAATAGGTAGAAAGATTTGTGCGTTTTTTGTGGCATTTCAAAATTTATAGTTCTTTTTCTGTCTGATATTGACATGCCTTATGTCTTTCCTTCGGTTGTAGATTGGACGCTGCTGTTCTAGATCTAGTGGCAGATGATGGCCAGGGTATGAAGCAGCAGAAAACTAATTATCACTGGGACAAGGTAATAAAGAGTTAAGATACATCATAAGAATGGCCTCCTAAACTTTAATCATACTAAACTGGATCCGTCTTTGGTGACAGAAAAGTAAGAAGTACATCAAGTTGAACAATGGAGATCGTGTAACAGCCAGTGGCAAGGTAGTACCTTAATTACAAAATAAGAAATTTGTCTTCTAGTTATAAGAAATGCTCTGAGTCTAAATTGAGGCTCTCTTGTAACGAAATAGATAAAGACAGAGAGTGGAGCCAAAGTGAGGGCAAACAAAGCAGGTGCAATATACAAGAAATGGAAAGATAACACGCACAAGAAAGCATTCAGCCGTGAGGACGGTGAAGGAGACGACACACCAAGCATGTCATCAGGTACATTGTTTTTTTAACTTGTTCCCAACACAAGCTCCATCGTTTTGAAAGCTGTCAATAAGTCTAAAGAGAAACTTTGCAGGTAGAGGTGGCCGAAGCGGGAAGAGATGGTCAGCATCAGTGCCTAACGCGCATGTGCGTTCAGAGATCAAAGATCTGGAGCAGGTGCGTAAGGAGAGGCAGGAGAAAGCAAACAAACTGTCTTATCTGCATAGCAAGAGAGGTGGTGGCAGAGGCGGGGCCAGGGGAGGTCGTGGTGGAAGGGGAGGCAGCAGGGACTTTGATGGTGGAAGCGGGAGGGACTTTGCCGGTAGAAGTAGTAGAGGGGGAAGAGGTGGTGGAAGTAGTAGAGGAGGAAGAGGTGGTGGGTTTGGCGGCGGAAGAGGTGGTAGTGGCCGTGGTGGTGGTAGTAGCAGAGGTGGTAAAAGAGGAGGTGGTGGTGGAGGGAAACGTGGGAGAGGGAGATAAGCGTGAAGACTTTACTGACGAGTTAAAAAGAATCGTCAAAACTTTTGAGCTTAGGCAAAAACTATTTCTTATTAAAATGTTATGTCACTTGCAGACCTTTATCTACTCAAGTTTTGTGCAACACTTGTTTCCATTTATGTTTGATTTCCTCAGGTTTTTGTCTTCGTGTATTCTATTTATCAAGTATAAAAAATGGCCAAGTGTTGCATTTTTCTTAATTTTAACATACTAATTTTAACATAGCCAAGTTTGTTGTTTGCACGGACAAGTATTCGTGGATTATACCTATACGTAGGTAAATAATCATAGGAAGGATGTCAGACAAGAAGGTTCTATGGTGTAGTGGTTAGCACTCTGGACTTTGAATCCAGCGACCTGGGTTCGACTCCCGGTAGGACCTTTAACTTTTTAAAAAAAAAATCTTTTGCTAAATGACAAAAATGTATAACCTTCTTTTAGGTATTGATTGCATGAATAATCATATTTTTCTTCAATGTTCATGAATACAGTAAACAAGTTGTTGCTTGATAAATATGTAAACAATGTTTTGAAATGGAATAATGAAAAATGATCCATAATATGGATGAATGAAATATAAAAACACTAAGTGGACAGTTAAAAAGAAGAGACCTCTTCAAGCAGATCACACCCTCTCTTGTGCCCACCTTCTTCTTCTCTTCTTCCCCCACATCTCCTAAAAGCTTTACACACATATACACCAAAACAAATCTCTCTTTTCTTTGGGATCATGGTAAAGGAAATAGTCTACTATGATGTTTTTGGTGCACTCCCTCAACTTCCGAGGAGGAGATCCACAAGGCTTATTACATCAAGGTTTATTGTTCCTATAATTTGTGTTCCTTGGAGTTTTCTCTGTTCTTGGATGACTAACTCTTAAAATCTTTAGGCAAGACAAGTTCATCCTGATACGAATCAAGGTGATCCTCTAGCTGCTGAAAGTTCCAGGCAAGTTCTTTTATTTTTTCTGCTGCTTATATTTCTTGCAGACAAATAAGAAGATGCAAATTGATTCAGCCTCTTTTGTTTCTGAGTTATTCATTATTGTAAGATGATGATTGATGGACCATCAAACTTAAAACAACTATTGTTGACAAATTAAAGAACTTATTAATCATTTTAAGGTTGTTATAACGTAAAATCTTGAGACTCATAAGATAAACTCAAACAAAACAAGCCTTTATTTTGTTAACCTTAAGCTTATATGTACACATACCAAGGAAGAGACCTCTCTGGCTTTCCACACTTATTCAATGAGCCTGATGAGGATAAGCTGTGTGGGAACGGTGAGCCTGGAGGATACAAGCACAGTGAACAGATGTTAAATTCAGACAACCACTCATCACCAGAGAATGTCTCCCTGAACAAGTGTGAAGCGCAGGGAATGTATCACAAACAGCTTGAACCGCTGAAGGTGTAAGGTAAGTGCATTGGCTAATGTTGAGGCTTCTGAGTCCTTCTTCATCGAACTTTCCTTTCTTAACCG